TTTTAGTTCACTAACTGCACATTTTCTGTTTTCATTTTTTTTTTTTAATTTTTAACAGTCAAATAACAAAACAAAACATTGCAAAGTGCAAACGTGTAAAAGCTAACAAAAAAGGGGGAGGGGGCGGCCAAACATTTTTTTGCTTGGGGCAGCAAAAAATCTAGAGCCAGCCCTGGCAGAGAGGTCAAGGATCTTTAAAAAAAAAACTCCATGTTTTTTGCCGCATCTGGAAAATGGTGTTGCATAGCAACTCCAGACATTTTGTTCTGCTCTCCTCAGTGAGAAGTGGACTGGCTGTTTTCCTAATCCTTTGTGGTTTAAGTTTGAAGTTAATCTGTATGGGTATGTCTACACTACCCCGCTAGTTCGAACTAGCGGGGTAGTGTAGACATACCCTCAATTAGCAGGAGAGAGGGCGCTGCTGTGCGCTGGGCTGAGGCCTGTTGCAAGCCCACTTAAATCTTGCCTTGGAATACAAGCAGTGCCACGAGTCTTTCATTTCTATAGCAGCTTTTCCTCTTTTAAAGGCAAGCTAGCCCTGTGGCTGAGGCACTAAGGAAGTCTCAGGAGATTGGGGGAGGACTCAAATCCTGTCTCCGCTACAGACTCCCTCTCTGACCTTGGGAAAGTCACTTACCCCTGATTTCCCATCTGTGCAATGGAGATAATTGTCTACTTAGACTGTAACTTCATGGGGACAGGGACTTTCTTTTAATAAGCAAATGTGTGACATCTACCAATGCCCTGCTGACCTTAGTGTTGGGACACTGCCAACATAGAAAGCATACATCTGGCAGCTGTGTCTCTATTGCACCGTTTCCTCTCAGCCCCTCTCCAAGCTCTGCTAGTCATGGCAATGGGCTTTCTAGGCCAGCGTCTAGCTCTCGCCGTTGCAGGGTTGCCAGCCCACAGAGATTTCATTTACGGACAAAATGGGAAAAATTTACGGACAGACTCATTTTATAACAGACATAAATTTTATATTCTAGATTTTGACGTAAGCTTTAACAGTAACCAATATTAAGTTACATAAACTGCCAATGTGCTGGCGCTAGCTCAGCAGGGTAATGTAGCTGATAACATCATGTAGATCATGTGATTCACGTTACTTCACCTCAACCATTGAGCTAAACAAACAACTAAAATGTCCAATTTCTGCTGCTCTGCAGTAAAATGGCTGAAGCAGCACGGAAGGAATTTAATTGCTGGTTTTTGAAATTTTATTGCACTTTTACAACATTTATGGACACCTACATTTTTTTACGGACTTTATGGGCATGTCCGATTTTGGCTAATTTTTTATGGACTGTCTGTAAATGTACTGACGGGTGGCAACCCTGAGCCGCTGGCAGATGTGCATGCACCACGTGGGCCGTTGGAAGGGCAGGGGGTGCAACATCACCCAGCCTCTTGCTGTGCAGAGAGAGGGAGCAATTCCCCTCTTCTAATGCTGGCGGGCCGGCTGAGTCTGGGGCCAGTCAGTGCAGCCTTAAGCCAGAGAACAGCTGCTGGGGAAGTTGGGTGGGGGCAGAGTTTAAACACCAGAAGCTTCAGGCAGCTAGACTTGAATTCTGGGGACTCCCTGGGGTTTGCTAGTCTTGCCTGCTTCTTCTAGCCCTGGGGACAGCAAATAACACCAGAGCCTCAAAACACAGTGGGGGGGTTGCTGGGATGCAAGCGAGACTCATGGCGGGAGGTGGCCTTGCGTCCCTGCGCTGCCACTTGGCCTGTGGGGAGCCTAGTGTCTGAGAGCAGGTCCGGCTAGAGGTGCCTGGCAGAGCTGTCAGCTGTAACAGCTGCCCTTGCTGGACCCCTGCCCTAGACACCAGGAAGCATCATTTGGCTGAACACTCCCCCTTCCGAGGGTCCTGGCAGCTCATTTCTTTTGAAACGGAAGCATCCAGGCTTAGTGCGAGG